GGGGTAGAGAGAGCTCCAGGGTGGCTGGGAGAGCCAGAGAGTGAGAGGATAAAGGGATGAAAACACGCGTGCAGGAAGAATGAGACACGGAGGAGTCAGCGTGAAGTGAAGAGCTGCTGAAAAGTGATGCAAAGTTATATAAGTCTGCCCTTATTATGGGATGGAAGTTGAAGAAGCTGCAGTTACTGGTGTTGGTTCTCAGTGAGTTCACAACAGATCCGGAATTTAAAAAAAAACGACGACTTTGAAAACTTGAGGAGTAATTTCTTGGGGTTTTTTGTTTAGTTTATTTACTGCCTATAAATACACTACACAGTGAGCTACTGTGGTGCAGTGCAGTGGCTGTAGTTTACCAACAGGGGGTCCTGGGTTTTGGACCATCAAGTCCTAGACTGGACTAGACTAGGTTGGATTAGATTAGATTTTTATTGTCCCTCGAAAACAAAACAGTAAATAACACAAACACCAAAAACACAACAGATTAAAATAAAACTACAGCTCAGATTAGAATGAGTTCAACATACAGGGATTATGGCTTCATCTTTACATCAGTCAGACCACCAGTCTCAGGTCTGACTGTTTTGAATTTACAAACTGATCAGGGATTAGATCAGAATTCACCACAAATGTGTGACTGTGAGTGTGAATGCTGGGATTAACACGGGCTTCTAGAAAATGATAAATAAATGAAGTTAGTTTCATTAATTTAATAAAGGGCTGTCGTGTATTTTTACTGTTATTCTTTTAATTTTTACACACACAGGTTTAATGACTCGCTTATAAAATAAATCCAAGCAGCTGTTGGGAAATATGTTCAGGAAACTCGACACTCTCTCCAGACTCAAATCCAATCGGAGTTTAGTAAAAGTGGTGCTAATGACGTGTGACAAGGTGTTTGCACAGATTACAGTTGCACACCATATAAAGTCATCAGAGCCTCAGACGCAATAAAAACAATTAACAAAGCGCCGGCTGATTTGAATAATCTGTGTGACAGCTGCCTCTCTGAAGTGATTACAATTAATCACATTTCACACTGTAATAGTCGCTCGACTACGTTGTTAAAGG